TCATTCATTTCCCCTAAAATCAGAGAAACAAATACAATGTCATTTCAATCATGACACATAGAGCATTTATTCTTTTGATGTTACCATATATGCTAAAACATGTTTTTAACTGTTTTGGTTCATACTTTAATTAAAATATTTCACAGAGAATTATGTAATAATAAACAACACAGTTTCAGATAAATTTTTCCTCTGTTGCCCTTAGATAATAAAGAATCACAGTAGCTTGAAAGTGGACAGTACTATGAAATATTTGACTCAGTTAATACATGATTGTTTCCAAAAACAAAAGAAAATGATTCCATTGGTAAAATATTAATGTAACCATAATTTTCATTTTTAGACATATAATTAACATACCTAAAACTAATATTGGAAGAAGAAAGAGGAAGAAAACTGTGTTTGTGAATAGGACTGAGGGACAGGAAACATTTTTAACAGTTGCTGTGAATAGGAATCTTTGATGGCAAGAACATGTATAAGGAGGACTTCAGAGGGCAATTACTTGATATGACCTCTGAATCCTTTCAGGGTACATAATGTTTTGAATGATAAAAAGGCAATATGGTTTCCAGATATGAGAAAAATAAAAAGTAACAGTGAAGAGAAACATGTTTATTATTACACTACTTATTTATTATAGTGAAAATGTTAACTTGATCACAATGGAAAGAAGCATAGAGGTACTTTAAACACCAATGAAATTTTTAACTAAGCAGAAATACCATGACATACCTTCCTGAAACACAGTGAAGCACATATGTTTCTAAATTTACATCTTAATAGGAAAAGTCATGCTAAAAAAAAATAAAATAAAATGAAGAACGTTACTTCCGAACTGAAGAAAAAGCATTAAGTCTGAGAGAGTGTTAAGCATCTAGAGTGTTTCAAAATCTAATTGACAGCATACTATAAAACACAAATGCCTTAAATTTTAAAGGAGGAAGACATGTGGGTAAACTCAAAATTCAACCTTGATATTTTATTTTATTTTAAAGATTTATTTATTTATATAAGCACTGGGGTACAGGCCAGAGGTGCCAGAGGGAGAGAGAATTCACCTGAGACACAGCAGGGAGCAGAAAAGGCAGAAGGACCTAAACACACCGCTGAGGGGAGCAGTGGGCACGACAGGAGAGGTCTGCTGCACCAGGTGGGAATCTCCCTGGCTGGCCGGGAATCGAACCAGCGCTGCAGAGGCTGAGGAGAGTTCCACAGCACGGTGCTCAACCAGCTGCGCCACCAGGAGGCCCCAAACACTTATACTTTAAAGAAAGATTTGCTGACCCAAGTAGATGAGATGATTTGCCCAGGAATTGGGAAAGTAAGAATAAGAAAACAGATTTTCCCAATTCCGAATGCAGTGCTCTTTTGAGAACCTAAATATCATCTTAATCCACAAAATCTATAATATATACCGAGTACAGGATTTAGCTCTACTTCCCCGAAGGGGTGTGAACACTTAGAACTTGAAAGAAATAATGCACCAGGAGTCTGTCCTAAATATTGAATATATACACAAGGAAATATGAGAAGCAGAAGAGATAAGATAAACAAGGGAGGCAACTGAGTAAATATTGAATACATTCATTTATTTTAGCAAATTAACTCATAAGTATATTGTTTCTATTTTACCAAATTAGCTCATGAGTATATTGAGTTTAAAGAGAGTTTACCTGAGAAAATGTTTCTTCTCCTTTATCTTCAAGTAGAGATTGAGGTTCTGACAGAAAATGCCTTTTCTCACAGCTCTCCTGGCTGATGAGCGTGTCCGCATAGTTGGGCTGCGGGAAGATCAGCTGACTCTTCCTCGAGTCTGCAGTGAGGGAGACCTCATGCGAATAGGTCTGCAGGAAAGCATGCACCCCGTCCACGCCCACAAAGTGCGAGGTGGGCAAGCCCCCCAATCCACCTTCTGAAGCCTGGAGCAGGCGTGACATGTGCCAGCGCCGCAGCCTGAGCGCCATCAGCACGATGACAAAGGCCAGGAAGACGCAGGAGACCACGGCCACCGCCACCACCAGGTACAAGGTAAGGTCGGAATCCTCAGAGTCCGCGGGGGTGCTGATGCTGCCCAGGTCAGCCAGGACTTCTGGGATGCTGTCAGCCACGGCCACGGTGAGCGTGACTGTCGCCGAGAGGGGGGGCTGGCCATGGTCCTGGACCACCACCACCAGGCTCTGCTTGAGCGCATCTCTGTCCAGCAGGGCCCGCGCAGTGCGCACCTCGCCCGTGTGCAGCCCCACTGAGAAGAGCCCTGGCTCGCTGGCCTTGAGCAGGCGGTAGGACAGCCAGGCGTTCTGGCCTGAGTCTCTGTCCACCGCCACCACTTTGGTCACCAGGTAGCCAGGCTCTGCAGAGCGGGGTGCCAGCTCCACGCCTGTGGAGCCATCTGTGGGGAAGGCAGGGTACAGGATCTCAGGCGCATTGTCATTCTGGTCCAGGACAAACAGGCTCAGTGACACGTTGCTGCTGAGTGGCGGGTCCCCACTGTCACTGGCTGTCACCAGTAACTGTAGGTCCCTCACCTGCTCATAGTCGAAGGAACGCAGCGCATACAGGGTTCCAGTGTCAGAGTTAATGGAGACATAGGTGGAGAGAGGTGCCCCCTGAACTGTATCCTCAGTCAGTGCATAAGTGATGTGTGCATTCTCAATGCTGTCGGGGTCCTGGGCAGTCACACAGAAGATGGAGGCTCCCCTGGGGTTGTTTTCAGCAATGTAAGCAGAGTAGGAGGCCTGCGTGAAGGCAGGTGAATTGTCATTGATGTCTGCCACATGCAAGGTGATATGAGTGTCTGTGGACAGTGGTGGACTTCCCCGATCTGTGGCTCTCAGAGTGATGTTATATTCAGACCTTTGTTCACGGTCCAGAGATCTCGCTGTCACTAAGCGGTAATATTGGTCTATTGATTTTTCTAAATTAAACGGCATATTTCCCAAGACAAAAACCGTGACTTGCCCATTTTGTCCCGAATCCCGATCGTGCACATTTATAAGGGCAACTTCTCTTCCAGAAATCGCCTCTTCTGGGATCGATCCTGTGAGAGAAGTGACTGTAACTTCTGGGGCGTTGTCATTCACATCCAGAACTGTGACTAGGACCTTAGCTCTTGAAAGGAGACCTGGACCATCTTGTGCTTCAATTTTAATTTCATAGAACACAGCATCCTCGTAATCTAGACTTTTTAATAGTGATATATCTCCAGTGACTGGGTTGAGATCGAAAATCTGAGCAATTTTCCCAGGCATTTTATCTAACACATAGGACACTTGAGCGTTGAATCCCTCATCGGGGTCAGTGGCATTCACTGTGAGCAGCCTGGTGCCCACCGGCAAGTTCTCCTGAGCGCTAACCCTATACTCAGGCTGAGTAAATATTGGTGGATTGTCATTTACATCCAGAACTATCACGTGGATGCCCAAGCTGCCAGAGTGGACAGGGTCGCCGCCATCTGAGGCAAGGAGAACAAGCTGGTGAACTTCCCTTTCCTCCCGGTCCAGAGCCTGCTCCAGCACTAGCTCTGGATACTTGGTCCCATCGGAGACGCTCTTCACCGCCAGGGAGAAGTAGTCATTAGGGCTAAGCTGGTAGTTCTGCAGGGAGTTCATGCCCACATCTGGGTCAAATGCAGTCTTAAGTGGAAATCGGGTTCCAGGAGCTGCTAGTTCGAAAATTTTTATTTCTAAATTTTCTGTTAGAAAATCAGGAGCATTATCATTAATGTCTTTAATTTCTATTTCTACTTCCAAAATCTTCAGTTTGTCTTCCACCAGGATGTTAAATTTTACCAGGCACCGCGCGCTCTGAGCGCAGAGCTCCTCCCGGTCTATCCTGCCCGCGGTGACCAAGCTGCCACTTCTCGGGTTCAGAGCAAAAAGCTGAGTCCTACCTCTGGAGACGATGCGGACTCCTCGCTCCGCCAGCTCCCGGGGCTCCAGCCCCAAATCCTTGGAGATGTTGCCCACGAAGGAGCCCTTCTCCACCTCCTCCAGCACCGAGTAGCGAATCTGCCCGAATCCGGTGTTGCACAGCGTCCCCAGGAGCGCGCACAGCAGGGCCAGCCCCGCTCCATCTCGGAATCTCAGGGAACTGCTCATTTCCTATTCGGGGAATTATTTTCTCTCAATTCAGTTCCAATTTTCCACAACGAGCTCCAGTCTTATTTTCTCAGGGAATTAAGCCTTCCATGGGCCTAATTCATAGGTCACCGAGCTGGTTGCGAGCTGGTTGGCGGACAGGATGAGCTTCATTGCAGCTCCGATCTTCTGAGTCTGATTCGCTGGGTCTTTACTTTTTAGGAACAAGGAAATGGTGGACTAGTTTTCCTTCTTGAGTGGTCAACAGCGACACTCAGAGGCATAACCGCTTACTGCACCTCCCCAGACAAAGGCAAGTGAGCTGTTTCTGAACTTCTGATCCCTGAAATCCTTTTTATCAGAAAGGTTGTTTATTTCACATGATTGAATTGCTATCTGTTAAAGGATGTGACTTCAAGTTATCTCCCTGGGAAGCCGTGCATGAACTTTAATGCCACCAATATTGCTTCAGACGTGCTGGAGTTACTCTTAGGAAACGTTCAGTTTGAACAAGATGGAAATTATCAGCCATCGTTACAGGTTTTGCATCTTAAATTTTGTCCTTGATAGCCTGACATCTTAGCTTAAATCTTTATTACTTAACCCATTAATTAAGCAAGCATATAATTGAATGCCACATAATATGTGGGGATTTAAGGTAAGCAATGTGGACACAGCCACTTTATTCACAGAATAATATAAGAGCAAACAGGGAATTATAATGCATGGAGATAACTGCCATAATAGCAGAGGCCAGGGCAATGGGAAGGCATCCAATGCTGCCCTGGAGGTTAGCAAAGGCTTCCCCAAGAAACATGGACCGAGTGGATCAAGCAAGGGCCTAGGTGTGAGAGAGAAATCACAGAACCTCAGGATACTAAAAGCAGTTCATTTTGCTTAAATCTGGAGTGTGAGAATGTTTTTAAAGGCCAAATGTGAAGCTAGTGGAGAGAAACTTTTGTTGCTCCAGAAACCCTTTTCCCACATTTATTTCCCCTACAATCACAGAAACAGAAATACACTGTCATTTCAATCATGACACTTAGAGCATTTATTCTTTTGATGTTACCATATATGCTAAAACATGCTTTTAACTGTTTTGGTTCATACTTTAATTAAAATATTTCACAGAGAATTATGTAATAATAAACAACACAGTTTCAGATAAATTTTTCCTCAGTTGCCCTTACATAATAAAAATCACAGCACCTTGAAAGTTGACAGTACTATGAAATATTTGACTCAGTTAATTCATGATTGTTTCCAAAAACAAAAGAAAATTATCCCATAGGTAAAATATTAATATAACCATTATTTTCATTTTTAGACGTATAATTAACATACCTAAAACCAATATTGGAAGAAGAAAGAGGAAGAAAAACTGTGTTTGTGAACAGGACAGAGGGACTGGAAACATTTTTAACAGTTGCTGTGAATAGGAAACTTTGATGGGAAGAACATGTCTAAGGACGACTTCAGGGGGCAATTACTTGATATGACCTCTGAATGCTTTCAGGGTACATAATTTTTTAATGATAAAAAGGCAATATGGTTTCCAGATATGAGAAAAACAAAAAGTAACAGTGAAGAGAAACATGTTTATTATTACACTACTTATTTATTATAGTGAAAATGTTAACTTGATCACAACGGAAAGAAGCATAGAGGTACTTTAGACACCAATGAAATTTTTAACTAAGCAGAAATACCATGACATACCTTCCTGGAACACAGTGAAGCACATATGTTTCTAAATTTACATCTTAATAGGAAAAGTCATGCTAAAAAAAAATAAAATAAAATGAAGAACGTTACTTCCGAACTGAAGAAAAAGCATTAAGTCTGAGAGAGTGTTAAGCATCTAGAGTGTTTCAAAATCTAATTGACAGCATACTATAAAACACAAATGCCTTAAATTTTAAAGGAGGAAGACATGTGGGTAAACTCAAAATTCAACCTTGATATTTTATTTTATTTTAAAGATTTATTTATTTATATAAGCACTGGGGTACAGGCCAGAGGTGCCAGAGGGAGAGAGAATTCACCTGAGACACAGCAGGGAGCAGAAAAGGCAGAAGGACCTAAACACACCGCTGAGGGGAGCAGTGGGCACGACAGGAGAGGTCTGCTGCACCAGGTGGGAATCTCCCTGGCTGGCCGGGAATCGAACCAGCGCTGCAGAGGCTGAGGAGAGTTCCACAGCACGGTGCTCAACCAGCTGCGCCACCAGGAGGCCCCAAACACTTATACTTTAAAGAAAGATTTGCTGACCCAAGTAGATGAGATGATTTGCCCAGGAATTGGGAAAGTAAGAATAAGAAAACAGATTTTCCCAATTCCGAATGCAGTGCTCTTTTGAGAACCTAAATATCATCTTAATCCACAAAATCCTAATTTATACTAATTTCAGGGGACTTAGCTCTACTTCCCCCGATGGGGTGTGAACACTTAGAACTTGAAAGAAATAATTCACCAGGAGTCTGTCCTAAATATTGAATATATACACAAGGAAATATGAGAAGCAGAAGAGATAAGATAAACAAGGGAGGCAACTGAGTAAATATTGAATACATTCATTTATTTTAGCAAATTAACTCATAAGTATATTGTTTCTATTTTAGCAAATTAGCTCATGAGTATATTGAGTTTAAAGAGAGTTTACCTGAGAAAATGTTTCTTCTCCTTTATCTTCAAGTAGAGATTGAGGTTCTGACAGAAAATGCCTTTTCTCACAGCTCTCCTGGCTGATGAGCGTGTCCGCATAGTTGGGCTGCGGGAAGATCAGCTGACTCTTCCTCGAGTCTGCAGTGAGGGAGACCTCATGCGAATAGGTCTGCAGGAAAGCATGCACCCCGTCCACGCCCACAAAGTGCGAGGTGGGCAAGCCCCCCAATCCACCTTCTGAAGCCTGGAGGCGTGACATGTGCCAGCGCCGCAGCCTGAGCGCCATCAGCACGATGACAAAGGCCAGGAAGACGCAGGAGACCACGGCCACCGCCACCACCAGGTACAAGGTAAGGTCGGAATCCTCAGAGTCCGCGGGGGTGCTGATGCTGCCCAGGTCAGCCAGGACTTCTGGGATGCTGTCCGCCATGGCCACGGTGAGTGTGACCGTCGCCGAGAGGGGGGGCTGGCCGTGGTCCTGGACCACCACCACCAGGCTCTGCTTGAGCGCATCTCTGTCCAGCAGGGCCCGCGCCGTGCGCACCTCGCCCGTGTGCAGCCCCACTGAGAAGAGCCCTGGCTCGCTGGCCTTGAGCAGGCGGTAGGACAGCCAGGCGTTCTGGCCTGAGTCTCTGTCCACCGCCACCACCTTGGTCACCAGGTAGCCAGGCTCTGCAGAGCGGGGTGCCAGTTCCACGCCTGTGGAGCCATCTGTGGGGAAGGCAGGGTACAGGATCTCAGGCACATTGTCATTCTGGTCCAGGACAAACAGGCTCAGTGACACGTTGCTGCTGAGTGGCGGGTCCCCACTGTCACTGGCTGTCACCAGTAACTGTAGGTCCCTCACCTGCTCATAGTCGAAGGAACGCAGCGCATACAGGGTTCCAGTGTCAGAGTTAATGGAGACATAGGTGGAGAGAGGTGCCCCCTGAACTGTATCCTCAGTCAGTGCATAAGTGATGTGTGCATTCTCAATGCTGTCGGGGTCCTGGGCAGTCACACAGAAGATGGAGGCTCCCCTGGGGTTGTTTTCAGCAACGTAAGCAGAGTAGGAGGCCTGCGTGAAGGCAGGTGAATTGTCATTGATGTCTGCCACATGCAAGGTGATATGAGTGTCTGTGGACAGTGGTGGACTTCCCCGATCTGTGGCTCTCAGAGTGATGTTATATTCAGACCTTTGTTCACGGTCCAGAGATCTCGCTGTCACTAAGCGGTAATATTGGTCTATTGATTTTTCTAAATTAAACGGCATATTTCCCAAGACAAAAACCGTGACTTGCCCATTTTGTCCCGAATCCCGATCGTGCACATTTATAAGGGCAACTTCTCTTCCAGAAATCGCCTCTTCTGGGATCGATCCTGTGAGAGAAGTGACTGTAACTTCTGGGGCGTTGTCATTCACATCCAGAACTGTGACTAGGACCTTAGCTCTTGAAAGGAGACCTGGACCATCTTGTGCTTCAATTTTAATTTCATAGAACACAGCATCCTCGTAATCTAGACTTTTTAATAGTGATATATCTCCAGTGACTGGGTTGAGATCGAAAATCTGAGCAATTTTCCCAGGCATTTTATCTAACACATAGGACACTTGAGCGTTGAATCCCTCATCGGGGTCAGTGGCATTCACTGTGAGCAGCCGGGTGCCCACGGGCAAGTTCTCCTGAGCGCTAATCCTATACTCAGGCTGTGTAAATATTGGTGGATTGTCATTTGCATCCAGAACTATCACGTGGATGCCCAAGCTGCCAGAGTGGACAGGGTCGCCGCCATCTGAGGCAAGGAGGACAAGCTGGTGAACTTCCCTTTCCTCCCGGTCCAGAGCCTGCTCCAGCACTAGCTCTGGATACTTGGTCCCATCGGAGACGCTCTTCACCGCCAGGGAGAAGTAGTCATTAGGGCTAAGCTGGTAGTTCTGCAGGGAGTTCATGCCCACATCTGGGTCAAATGCAGTCTTAAGTGGAAATCGGGTTCCAGGAGCTGCTAGTTCGCCAATTTTTACTTCTAATTCCTCTGTTAGAAAATTAGGAGCATTATCATTAATGTCTTTAATTTCTATTTCTACTTCCAAAATCTTCAGTTTGTCTTCCACCAGGATGTTAAATTTTACCAGGCACCGCACGCTCTGAGCGCAGAGCTCCTCCCGGTCTATCCTGCCCGCGGTGACCAAGCTGCCACTTCTCGGGTTCAGAGCAAAAAGCTGAGTCCTACCTCTGGAGACGATGCGGACTCCTCGCTCCGCCAGCTCCCGGGGCTCCAGCCCCAAATCCTTGGAGATGTTGCCCACGAAGGAGCCCTTCTCCACCTCCTCCAGCACCGAGTAGCGAATCTGCCCGAATCCGGTGTTGCACAGCGTCCCCAGGAGCGCGCACAGCAGGGCCAGCCCCGCTCCATCTCGGAATCTCAGGGAACTGCTCATTTCCTATTCGGGGAATTATTTTCCCTCAATTCAATTCCAATTTCCACAACGAGCTCCAGTCTTATTTTCTCAGGGAATTAAGCGTTCCGTGGGCCTAATTCATAGGTCACCGAGCTGGTTGCGAGCTGGTTGGCGGACAGGATGAGCTTCATTGCAGCTCCGATCTTCTGAGTCTGATTCGCTGGGTCTTTACTTTTTAGGAACAAGGAAATGGTGGACTAGTTTTCCTTCTTGAGTGGTCAACAGCGACACTCAGAGGCATAACCGCTTACTGCACCTCCCCAGACAAAGGCAAGTGAGCTGTTTCTGAACTTCTGATCCCTGAAATCCTTTTTATCAGAAAGGTTGTTTATTTCACATGATTGAATTGCTATCTGTTAAAGGATGTGACTTCAAGCTATCTCCCTGGGGAAGCCGTGCATGAACTTTAATGCCACCAATATTGCTTCAGACGTGCTGGAGTTACTCTTTGGAAACGTTCAGTTTGAATAAGATAGAAATTATCAACCATCGTTAGAGGTTTTGCATCTTAAATTTTGTCTTTGATAGCCTGACATCTTAGCTTATATCTTTATTACTTAACCCATTAATTAAGCAAGCATATAATTGAGTGTCACATAATATGTGGGGTTTTAAGGTAAGCAATGTGGACACAGCCACTTTATTCACAGAATAATATAAGAGCAAACAAGAAATTATAATGCATGGAGATAACTGCCATAATAGCAGAGGCCAGGGCAATGGGAAGGCATCCAATGATGCCCTGGAGGTTAGCAAAGGCTTCCCCAAGAAACATGCGCAGAGTAGATCAAGCAAAAGGCCTAGGTGTGAGAGAGAAATCACAGAAATCTTCAGGGTACTGAAAGCAGTTTCCTTTACTTCAATCTGGAGTTTGAAGATGTTTTTAAAGGCCAAATCTGAAGCTAGTGGAGAGAAACTTTTGTTGCTCCAGAAACCCTTTTCCCACATTCATTTCCCCTACAATCACAGAAACAGAAATACAATGTCATTTCAATCATGACACTTAGAGCATTTATTCTTTTGATGTTACCATACATGCACAAACATACTGTTTTTTAACTTTTTTTGGTTCATACTTTAATTAAAATATTTCACAGAGAATTATGTAATAATAAACAACACAGTTTCAGATAAATTTTTCCTCCGTTGCCCTTACATAATAAAGAATCACAGCACCTTGAAAGTTGATGGTGCTATGAAATACTTGACTCACTTAATATATGATTGTTTCCAAAACAGGCCTCCCTGGTGGTGCAAGGAGTTAAGACACAACCTTGAAGTTGTCCGCAGCCTCTGCAGCATGAGTTCAATCTCTGGCTGGCCAGGCAGTAACCCCCGTGTCGCAGCAGACCTCTCCTACTCACCCGCTCGCTGCTCCCTTAAGCAGTGTACCTTGGTCAATCTGCCTGTCTGCTCCCCACTCTGTCTCTGGTGAATCTTCTTACCCCCACACCTCTGGCCTGTACCCCAGATTTTGTATGCATAACTAAATAAATCTTTAAAAAATGCATGATCCAAAAACAAATGAAAATGATCCCATTAATAGGATAGTATAATCATTGTTCTCATTTTTAGACATATAATTAACATGCTAAAAACCAATATTGGAAGAAGAATGAGGAAGAAAACTGTGTTTGTGAACAGGACTGAGGGACTGGAAGCATTTTTTTTTCCCCTAAAGATTTATTTATTTATTTATACAGGCACTGGGTACAGTCAAAAGCGCAGGAGGGTGAGAGAATTCACCAGAGCCAGAGCGGGGAAGTAGAGCAGGTAGACTGATGAAGTACACTGCTGAGGGGAGCAGCAGGGGGCAGGAGAGGTCTGAGCTCTATGTGGGACCCCCGCCTGGCAGCCAGGATGGAGCAGGCACTGCAGAGGCTGCAGGCAGCTTTGCAACCCAGCACTCAACCGGGCGGCCGGGGGACTGGAAACATTTTTAACAGTGGCTGTGAATAGGAAACTTTGAGGAGAAAAGCCTGTATCAGGAGGACTTCAGGGGGCAATTATTTGATACGACCTCTGAATCCTTTGAGGGTACATACTGTTTTGAAAGATTAAAAAGGCAATATGGTTTCCAGATATGAGAAAAACAAAAAGTAATGGTGAAGAGAAACATGTTTATTATTACACGACTTATTTATTACAGTGAAAATGTTGACTTGATCACGACTGGAAGAAGCACAGAGGTACTTTAGACACTAATGAAATTTTTAACTAAGCAGAAATACCATGACATACCTTCCTGAAACACAGTGAACCATATATGTTTCTAAATATCATCTTAATAGGAAAAGTCATGCCAATAAAATAAAATAAAATAAAATAAAATAAATAAAGAACTTTACTTCTAAACTGAAGAAAAAGCATTAATGCTGAGAGGGCGCTAACCATGTTTCAAAGTCTAATTTAAAGCATACTATAAAACATAAATGCCTTAAATTTTAGAGGAAAACATGTGGGTAAACACAAAATTCAACCTTTATATTTTAAAGAAAGATTTGTTGACCCAAGTAGATGACATGATTTGCCCAGGAATTGGGAAAGTAAGAATAAGAAAACAGATTTTCCCAATTCCGAATGCAGTGCTCTTTTGAGAACCTAAATATCATCTTAATCCACAAAATCCTAATTTATACTAATTTCAGGACTTAGCTCTACTTCCCCCGAAGGGGTGTGAACACTTAGAACTTGAAAGAAATAATGCACCAGGAGTCTGTCCTAAATATTGAATATATACACAAGGAAATATGAGAAGCAGAAGAGGTAAGGTAAACAATGGAGGCAACTGAGTAAATATTGAATACATTCATTTATTTTAGCAAATTAACTCATAAGTATATTGTTTCTATTTTAGCAAATTAGCTCATGAGTATATTGAGTTTAAAGAGAGTTTACCTGAGAAAATGTTTCTTCTCCTTTATCTTCAAGTAGAGATTGAGGTTCTGACAGAAAATGCCTTTTCTCACAGCTCTCCTGGCTGATGAGCGTGTCCGCATAGTTGGGCTGCGGGAAGATCAGCTGACTCTTCCTCGAGTCTGCAGTGAGGGAGACCTCATGCGAATAGGTCTGCAGGAAAGCATGCACCCCGTCCACGCCCACAAAGTGCGAGGTGGGCAAGCCCCCCAATCCACCTTCTGAAGCCTGGAGCAGGCGTGACATGTGCCAGCGCCGCAGCCTGAGCGCCATCAGCACGATGACAAAGGCCAGGAAGACGCAGGAGACCACGGCCACCGCCACCACCAGGTACAAGGTAAGGTCGGAATCCTCAGAGTCCGCGGGGGTGCTGATGCTGCCCAGGTCAGCCAGGACTTCTGGGATGCTGTCCGCCACGGCCACGGTGAGCGTGACCGTCGCCGAGAGGGGGGGCTGGCCATGGTCCTGGACTACCACCACCAGGCTCTGCTTGAGCGCATCTCTGTCCAGCAGGGCCCGCGCCGTGCGCACCTCGCCCGTGTGCAGCCCCACTGAGAAAAGCCCTGGCTCGCTGGCCTTGAGCAGGCGGTAGGACAGCCAGGCGTTCTGGCCTGAGTCTCTGTCCACCGCCACCACCTTGGTCACCAGGTAGCCAGGCTCTGCAGAGCGGGGTGCCAGCTCCACGCCTGTGGAGCCATCTGTGGGGAGGGCAGGGTACAGGATCTCTGGTGCGTTGTCGTTCTGGTCCAGAATGAACAGGTTCAGGGATACATTGCTGCTGAGTGGTGGGTTCCCGCTGTCACTGGCTGTCACCAGTAACTGCAGTTCATGGAATTGCTCATAGTCAAAGGAACGTAGCGCGTAGAGGACACCGGTGTCAGAGTTGATGGAGATGTAGGATGACAGAGGCACCCCATGAAGTGTATCCTCCACTAAGTTATAAGTTACTTGGCCGTTGTTGTCACAGTCAGGATCATGCGCTCTCATGGAAAAGATGGAGGAGCCTCTGAGATTGTTTTCGGGAATGTAGGCAGAGTAGGACGTGTGGAGGAAGGTGGGCGGGTTGTCGTTGATGTCTGCCACCTGCAGCAAAATGTAAGCATTTGTAGACAGAGACGGGGTCCCTCCATCTTTAGCAATCACAGTGATGTTATAAGAGGAAAACTGTTCCCTGTCCAGGGCTCTGGTTGTAACCAGTCGGTGGTAATTGTCCACTGACCTTTCCAACTTGAAAGGCAGGTCATCCAGCAGTGAACATGTGATAAATGCATTCTGTCCAGAGTCTCTATCATGCACATTGAAAAGAGCAATTACAGTTCCTGGAGGAGAGTTTTCAGGAACTGAACTACTAGCAGAGGTCATGTAAAATTCTGGGGCGTTGTCATTCACGTCCAGAACCGTGACAATAACCTTTGCTCTGGTCAGAAGGCCTGGCCCATCCTGGGCTTCAATATCGATTTCATGGTATTTGGCATCCTCATAATCTAAACTTTTTTTAATTGCTATTTCTCCAGAGGTCGATGTAAGCTCAAATATGTCTGAGGTTCCTTCAGGGGTTTTCTCTTGAAAATATGCCACTTGAGCGTTGTATCCCTCATCTGCATCAGTGGCGGTCACCGTGAGTATCCAGGTGTCTACAGGCATATTCTCTGGAACACTCACACGGTACTCGGGCTGTGTAAAAATAGGTGCATTGTCGTTTCCATCTTGGACCACCACGCGGATGCGGGCCGTGCCAGATCGGACCGGGCTGCCCCCATCCAAAGCAGTAAGAACCAGATGGTGAACCGCCTCTTCCTCGCGGTCCAGGGCGCTCTCCAGCACCAACTCCGGATATTTGTTCCCATCCACTCCATTTCGCACGTCCAGGGAGAAGTGTTCATTCGGGTTAAGTTGGTATTTCTGGAGGGTGTTTTCTCCGACATCCGCATCATGCGCACTCTTTAGAGGAATACGGAATCCTGGCGTAGTTATTTCACTGATTTTTAGTGCTAGTTCTTCCACGCCAAAGCGAGGTGCATTATCATTAATATCTGTTATTTCCACCTCTACTGAATAAATATTCAATTTATCTTCCA